TTTTTAAAATATGGGCCCACACCGGCAACAGTGGGCAAGAACAGACCAGCCGCTGCCCCTCGGTGGGCCCCGGGCTCTCAGGGACCAGCCCGGCCTCTCTCAGTGCTGGGGGCAGCCCGCGCTCTCACCCTGTCACCGGCACGCAGCTGGCATAGCAAAGCCCACACTCAGTTCCCTCCAGGCAGAAACTCCACTGAAATAAAGACGTGCTTCAGCCCCCGCCGGTTTGGCTCAGTGGATTAAGCGTCAGCCTCCGCACTGAAGGGTCCCAGGTTCTATTCCCGGTCAGGGCACAGGCCCGGGTTGTGGGCTCAATCCCAGGAAGGGGCGTGCAGGAGGCGGCCGACCACTGATTCTGGCTCATTGATGTCTCTCTCCCCCTTCCTCTCTGAAGTCAGTAAACACACATTTTAAAATAATAAAGGTGTGTTTCAGGACACGAGTCTGATGCTTTCTGAGAACTATGGCTGGAGCTGGCACCTTCGGAGGTGATGCATGTTCCCTCCACATCCGAGTGAAGATGCGGGGTTTCCATGTAAGCAGGCGGATTCCTTGGTTCTACAAGAGGCTGGTTGCGTGGCTTCCCTCAGTTATGCTCTAAAGCAGTGGTTCTCAGCCTTCGGGCCCTTTAAATACAGTTCCTCATGTTGTGACCCAACCATAAAATTATTTTCGTTGCTACTTCATAACTGTAATGTTGCTACTGTTATGAATCGTCATGTAAATATCTGATATGCAGGATGGTCTTAGGCGACCCCTGTGAAAGGGTCGTTCGACCGCCAAAGGGGTCGCGACCCACAGGTTGAGAACCGCTGCTCTAAAGGATGGATAGTCTCTAACTGCTCCCAAGAAGGCAGGGCCTTTCAAACGCAGCTTCCTGACAGAAGCCACCTTCTACCAGGAGAAGACGAGCCACTCGTCCAGAGCTGGAGGAACAAGACAGGTCCCTCCGCTCCCCACACCCACTCACAGGGAAATGCCAGGTGAGCCAGGTGTCCCCAGTCAGAGCAGGGAGGGGCTGCCACGCCTTCGGACTACAGTCGCCACAAGGCTAGAAGGGACAGGTGCATGGGCAGCCTCGGCCTGAGGCCGGTGAGGATGGGCTGCTGTGGTCCTGGCGCCATGACGAGCCGTCAGCAAGGAGCTGAG